ACTGCGCAGCAGCACGACATTCTCCCCGCCGAACCAGACGCCGTCAAACAGGTAGACCGACAAGAAGAGCATCCACTCTGGGACTTCTGCCTGCACCTTCGCCGCCGCCACTCACCCATGCCGGAGGTCTGACAACCCCTGCAAGTCAGCGAGCCCGCGCTTGGCCGAGGTGACGTGCTAGGACGCGCGCGCCACCGCCCCCACCGAGGTCGCAAGCTGGCGCGGCCTGCCTGTGGAGACGCGCGGCGAGACCGCCGACCAGGAGCCCTTCAGCGCGAGCCAGCCATAGATCGAGCGCGTCTCCCTTGCGGGTCTGCTGCGCCGCGGAGCAGCGCGGCGGTGGCTCTCGAGCCTCTAGCCGCGCGCGGCCTGAAACGAGTTGGGGTAGGTCGAGCTCGACCCCGCGTTGCTATTCACTGTGCAGAACCGCCACGCGGTTGCCTGAGCCGACTCCGCGGCGACCTCGCTGACGGCGAAGGCCGTCAAGAGCTGCACTTGCGACGCTTCCCTTGGCGGCTAGCTAGCATCTTCGAGCGCTGCCTGCGCCTGCGCCGCTCGCTCGATGGCTGCGCTGCGACCCCCCAGGTCCGCAACACCTGCGTGCTCGGATGCAGCTTGCGCGGCTGCGGCTTCGGCCGCGGCATCAGAGGCGTCCGCGTCGAGCCCCATGTCATCCGACTCCCCAGCCGGTAAGCCCACCCCTGAAGCAGGGCCGGGCGCGCGAACAGGGTCAGCAGGAGCCCCAGCTTGACCGCGCAGTGGCCCAGTGAGCTCCTCAAGGTGCCCGCCTGCCTTCTGACTGTCGAGCCACTCCTTGAAACCAACACCTGCCTTCTCGACTTGATCGCCTGAGATGCCATCAACGCCGGTCACTGGGACCGCACCGCCTGCCCCCCCCCGAACTGATGCTGGAAGGTTGGCGGCCTCCTCCCGCAGCTTCTGCGCGGCAGCGGCGGCCTGGCTGGCAGCCGAGCTCCGCGAGCTCTTTGTCCAGCGCCTCCTTCTGCTTCTGCACCTCCTCACGGCGCGTTGCAAGCGACGCGCGGGCTCTGGCCTCCGTGACCACCTCCTGCACCTCCTGGACCTTCTCGTCTGCCAGCTGCTGGTCGCTCTCCGAAGTGGCATACTTGGAGCAACTCCGCCAGAACTGGGAGCGCGCCTGCAGCTCCTTGGCGTGGTCCGTGACAGTCGAGATGGACTCGCGCTTCGCCGGTGGAGCCGAAAGGCCCCCCCCACCGAGCTGCGCAAGCCGTTTTGCTATGAGGTAGACCAGTTTCGACGGGTTTCGGAAGTCTTTGCTGCTCTGCTACCCACTGCTGGTGTTGGGCGGTCCGTTGGCTCAGTTGCCCGAGCAGCCCTGGCAGCTCGGACGACGCTTGGCGACGCAGGGGCGCTGCACACACGCACATGCACACACACACACACACACGCACGCACACACACACACACACGCACGCACACACACACACACGCACACGCACACGCACACGCGCACACACACACATACGCACACACACACACACCAACCACACACACCAACCACACACACCAACCACACACACCAACCACACACACCAACCACACACACCAACCACACACACACACACCAACCACACACACCAACCACACACACCAACCACACACACCAACCACACACACCAACCACACACACCAACCACACACACCAACCACACACACCAACCACACACACACGCACACACACACACACACGCACACACGCACACACGCACACACGCACACACGCACACACGCACACACGCACACACGCACACACGCACACACGCGCACACGCGCACACGCGCACACGCGCACACGCGCACACGCGCACACGCGCACACGCGCACAC